TTTATGTTTTGAATCAACAGAACTCCAAATCTCTTTGTGGTGCGAAATGTACACATGTTTAAGCAAGAAAGGCTTAGTATAATTCTCATAAGACGTTACCTTGTTTTTCATAATACGATAATCTTACTGTGGTTAAGCGGTTTGTCTATTTGAATAATGCAACAAAAAGATGCTTACAGTATGATATAATATTATTTGTTTTCATGCGTTTCTCTAACTCAAACCTTGATTTTTGTAATCCGACATAAGCGTACACAGTAATTCCATCACCAGCTCTCCAAGTTGTGGGCATTACATATGTGATCTGACATCAAACCAAGACGACTATGTTGTATATTTGTCTAACCCCCTAAGTGTCAAGGTTAACATCTCTTTCATTCAAGCTTTAACCTTGTTTGTATAATGATATCACTTGGCATCGCATGTCAAGAATTATGAATGATTTATCTTTTCGCTTCGAAAGATCAAAAGAATTTGTTAAAAAATGCAAGCCACAAAATCTATTCCACTTTCATAACCAACATTACATACACGCATAAGCCGTTTCTTGCATCCTCGTCAGAAGTATAATTCTAAATGTTTGTTTTTCTGGGGTGTTTTTGTTTGTTTCTTTTTTGTTTACCGCTGCATTCACCATTTTCCTGCTATATGAAAGCGACCTGTAAGTGATCAAGTCTGAACCAGATAATCCAATAATTGACTTCGTGAGCATCGACTTGCGTAACTGGGAACCGATGACATGCATTAATGATGTCCACTAGCCTGACCACCCAGACCAGCCGCCTCTTATGACCAAGATTCTAATACAGTCAACTCTCGTTAATCCGACACTTGTGGTTGCAGAGAAATATGTCGGATTAACGAAAATGTCGGATTAATTATATTTTGTGAAAATATCAATGTTTGCTAAATGTTATGATCGTCATACTGTTGCATGCATATCAGGTAGATCTAGTTATCTTCATCGTATGTAAAAATATTCACAGGAATAAAAACAATACTAACAATACATCCTTGTTATCATTTATTAACATTCATAGATGGCATAACATACATATATAATCACATAAGCGAACAGTTTCATATCTATTTCAGAACCACATTGTAGTTTACAACGTATTTTATGGCTTCATATAACATTAGACACGATGTGCGGGGTACTGTCTATGAGATGGGGCGGTGGGGTAGTCTAGTGGTTAAAGTGTTGGCTCGTCACGCCGAAGACCAGGGTTCGAATCCCCACATGGGTATTATGTTCGAAGCCCCTTTCTGGTGTCCCCCGCCGTGATGTTGCTGGAATATTGCTAAAAGTGGCGTAAAACCAAACTCAGTCAGTCAGTCAGTCTATGAGATACAATGCATGGTGGAGATATTACATGAGGTACTATTACAATATATGGCACATATGATATGGGGCATGTATCACATTATAGGTAATGCATAAGGATTGTATATGGGGCATGAAACACAGTATACGTAATACATAAGGATTGTATCTTGGGCATGTAACACATTATGTTAATACATAAGGATTGTATCTGGGGCATGTAACACATTATATGTTAATACATAAGGATTTATCTGGGGCATGTAACACATTATACGTTAAAACATAAGGCTTGTACATGGGACATCCAACACAATAAGACAATACATGTGTAATACATAAGGCTTGTATATGAGGCATGTAACACATTATATGTTAATATTTAGTGGTTGTACATGGGACATCCAATACAATACATGTGGATTGTGTATGGGTCATTAATACAGTGGGCACTATGCGTATGGCATTGTAAACGTGTGACACTGAGTGGGTCATCAGTATATATACATAATATATGGAACAAAGTACATTATACAGTGTACATATTCTGCGTGTATTATTATACACGTATACACCATATAAATATGTCATGTGCATGTATATGGTATATGGAACATAATCTATCGACAGTATACATTCACAGATGATGCATGTGTCATTATACAAATGTTCACCGAATACATAATACATGCAACTACACTTTAATCATCACCAATCATAACTATTCAATGGGGTATTCGGGACGGTGGGGTAGCCTAGTGGTTAAAGCGTTGGCTCGTCACGCAGAAGACCTGTGTTCGATTCCCCACATGGGTACAATGTGTGAAGCCCATTTCTGGTGTTCCCCGCCGTGATATTGCTGGAATATTGCTAAAAGCGGCGTAAAACCATACTCACTCACTCACTCACTCAATGGGGTATACATATGGCATTCCATGCATTTAAAGTATAGGATATTATACGTGTATACTTTGGGACGTATTACATCGTCTTAATACATTGGACATATGACGTAGGCGACGTAAATCCTGAAAGGAGCATTCGAAGTAAACTGCATGTGCCAATAAAACATTGGCCATAAGTACCTCTATCTCCTGAGCACAATTCCGATTTCATTGCTGTAATCCTGCAAAACGTCGTGTTTACATCCCAATGCCGTAAAGAGACAGCCATTAACATATGATCCAGTTGTGGTTGTGCCAACGGGGACGCCCTTCCTGGTGATAAGGGAAGGATTCCACCTTCATCCCTTTGTGAAGTCTGGTAACAGTTCAAAAATGTGTTTCACGAAAAATATTTACTTGCAGCCATAGACATATTAAACTGACCTTTTTTGTATACATAGAAGATTTAATCAAGATATTAAAATGAACACTGTAAATGTATGAGTGTATGTGGAGGCACACGTGTAGAAGTGCATGTTACCAAATGTGTGGATGTAGATACAGATATGTAGGTGTATGTGGGGTCGGTGTAGATGTAGATGTCGATAAGATGTGGAGATGTAGATGTAGGTACAGACATGCATGTTGCCTAATTTTGCAAGTGATTCACACCATTGTTTTTAGATATAGCACGATAAGTCAAAGACACAGCAATGGAACTTAGTAAATCTTAGTTCAGCCTCTGTACGAGTGAATGAGTGACGCCAAAGTCAGAATTTCTCAGAAAGTATTGGATGAAAAAACGACCATTCATTCGTTCGTTCGTTCATTCGTTCGTTCATTCATTCACAATCCGAACTACAGTTGGCCACCACAATGGGCTATTGTTGATACACAGCGCCAGAAAGCTCGATGTATATAATATGAAAAAAGGATATGAGAGAGGAACCGATATTTAAAGTATAACTAGTGTATGGTGTATCGTTTAATGACAGTGGAAGAACAAAGGAAGTATGGTTTCTTCTCAATATATACATAATTGGTATAATTCACTGGGTACATAACACGTGACACTGGGTTACGTAGCATGTTTTTATTTATGATATTTCAGTGCTTATGACAACCGCATTTTGTACTGGAATTCATTTCCACCTTTCTGTTCCTGTTTTGTAATGTGGGTAGCATAGTGGTTGAAGCGTTCGCTCGTCACACTGAACACCTGGGTTCGATCCCCACATGGGTACAATGTGTGAAGCCAATTTCTGGTGTCCCCCGCCGTGATGTTGCTGGAATATTGCTAAAACGGCGTAAAACTAAACTCACTCACTCACTATATGTTCTTTGTGAGCCGCCGTGTGGACAGCTTCACTGGAAGCAGTTCCTGTTACTTGAATAGTATAAATACAAGTCCCCTTGAAGTAGAACAATGGTTCTATACAATACATTTGTATACATTTTTATTGTTTGTGCATGGTAGTGTAAGACATGAAATACATGTTATTATAATCACTAAAAACATTTTTTTAATTCGATTACATTTGCTTGTTTACTGTAATGCGCGACATTAACCGTATAAATTACTATAGCGTGTGACATAAAAAGGGAAAACAACAATTGAAATATTTGTGATACAAAAATAATGCATAAATAGTTCAAAACGAATAAAATATTTTTTTAATCTTTTCCAAAATGTGTATAAACAGAAAATACATGTTCTAAATTTCATACACTGAGATTTTTTTATTACAGTGTTTCAATAGCATTCACAAAAACATTATGCTGCAGGCAAGGTAATATGTAAGCAGCATTACGACTTAGCAACACCTTCCAAAGCGACTCATAACGTGATTAAAAAACTTTAACCTCTCAGCCCGGGATTGTATGTACAGGTAAGCTACAGGTATATACTAGATAAGCTACGTAGAAGTCAGGTCACGATCTACTCCCAAGGCCATGTAGTAATTGCTCAGATATATTCAACAAATCACACTAAATCCATACGACATTAGTAAGAAAATATAATATTTGCACTGTGTCTGGTGTTTCTTACCAGAAGTCTGTTTTGGCGGCTGGTTCCTGCTTTTAATGTATGTGCTTAGTTCATTTTTTGTTATGCTTAAAGAAACATATTTGCAGAATGATAACGTGGGCTGTTGTGTACAAACAATCGTACAAACAGAGGGCTTTACATGAGGAATGTGGACTACTGCCAGCTGTGAAATTGTTTTAAATACTTTCTTACGAAGAACCTATATGTATAGGTATTACAAGACGCAATGCTGGCAATGTTTTATACTTTGTTTTTTATCAGGGACGAAAAAGAAAAACAAGTGTTTTCGATCACATATTATGCATATATAATGCATATTGGCCTTATGATGTTATGTACACCGTGTCGTGTATATAAATGCTGATATTGATTAAGTGTCAGGTGTTTCTTTTTTCCGTCAATCAATAATTCAGTTACAGACAGACAGATTTATTTCAGTAAAGGGCCATAGGCCATTGTCTTTACACAATGTTTAACTTATGTGCGAAGTAATAAAGTAGTATTCATCTTTTTCCTTAATCTTTGGACTTTCTCCAGATAACGACATATCTTATAAATAACAATATTATTTGTTGAGGACATCAAATTTAGTGTTGTACAGATTAACAATCTTTCTGTGTAAATTTACTGAGGTAAATTTTTCTAGGTGAATTGTAACTATTACAGATAAACATTACATGGTATTAATCTTCGATATAAAATTCGTTATTCAATTTACAAAATGGACAATACCTTTCAGAGTGCAAAATATGACAATATCTTCCAGTTTCTACAGTCAAACCAAAATTACTACATCGAAATCTCGAAAGGGTGGATCTGAGTCTCAATGCAATTTACATGTAATCGTAATAATAGTAACAGTCCGCTTACATGGCGCTCATATCCAGGTGCGCTGTTTACTTATGACACCATCGTACTGATTATGTTCAACTCCCTGGGGAGTATACAGATAAAAAATTGTCTTACATCAGGCCATGATTGTGTTCTTGAAAGGGATCGGTTTGTGCCGAGCCTGCATCAATGAACATTTCATTCGCGTTCTTATGAACTGTTGATTGTCGCCATACCTGGAACATTGTAAAACATTTGCGGCAGTAAATGTTTAACGTTGATTTTGATGTTGCGTCACAATATCTTTTGAATTAAGTATGCTTGAACATGTACCAGGCAAACCAGTGTCTGAAATATCAGCAACTTTCGACGGCATCGACCAAATCACAAAGCATGACACTGTTTCCAATTGTTCAGTTGAATACTGAGCGTGAAGATCCGGGTTAGAATAGGTCTTCAGTAACCCATGCTTGTCGTATGAGGCGACTAACAGGATCGGGTGGTCAGGCTCGCTGACTTGGTTGACACATGTCATTGTATCCCATTTGCGTAGATCGATGTTCATGCTGTTCATCACCGGATTGTCTGGTCCAGACTCGATTATTTACAGACGGCCGCCATATAGCTGGAATATTGCTGAGTGTGGCGTTGAACAACAAACAGTTGAATATTTTACTTGCCTTTGAATGTGTTTGTGATAGGTGCGACCGGTAGAGTATGATATTACGCTCCGCTTTTCCCAGGCACCTGGTATGAGCGCTATTTGATGGGGATTCATATACATCGGAATCTAGTAATCAGAATCGTTCAATGGGCTCTGGGGTTTTTCTCGGGAAATAGTTCCGCGTCTGGCAAAAAATACTGATCGTTTTTTTTCCAAAATGTGTGGATTTCGAATGATACCGGTTGGGCAGGACATGCTAACCCATTTCACCAACACTGGCGTTGTTACTTTTTCAATGGTACATTCAAACAATTTTCACCGATATTTTATACCCATTACGCCCGACGGAATCTGTTTCTTCAGATAATCAAGACAGGGTATTCATTTTTCATGGGCGTTATATGTTTACGTTCCCAGAAATATATTGGGTTTTATTGAAGAAAAAATGAGCAAACATTTTTTAGGCTTTTTTCCCTTTTAACAACCCATGGGAAGGTTCAAACACCTTCGCACATGTTTGGATGGCAATCATTTATTTACGTTATATTTATATTCAGCAGAGAACACGTTTATACTGAGTAACATATATGTGTATGTTTGTCAATGTCGTAACACTGAATTCACTAAGCTTTGACATCATAATGTCAATGTCATAAAAATATTGAAATAAAATGCGTGGCATTTGTTCACAGTGCGTACCAACGTGCTAAAACATCACAAAAAGCGTTGCCCAAATCCTGCTATCGCAGGTCGATTTATGAAACTATGTAGTAAATATTGAAATGGTCATTTCAGAACAAACATGGAATGTTCATTGTCAATACCACCATCTCTACTGCAGCGTCACAACCTAATATCCTCGCTACCTGTAGCTGATTTCTGTAAACATTCACAACACATGAATCTTTATCCACAGCGTATCTGAAGCGAGTCGAACCTGCTACCATGTGTACCAAAGTGTTAAAAAGATCACAACAAATCTCAAACATAACCTACATCGTTTACAAGCTGTGCTTTTAAACCTTGGCATCAACTGTCAAGGATACGCGATAATTCACTATTTAATTTCATCCATTGAAAAAGTAAATGTGTCAATAATATACGACCTTGACAAATCGTCCAAAATCCAACGTTGTCAAATATTAAATAATCGACAGGAAAAGGAAATTATTGTATCGTAAGGTTGCTTGAGCTGCAAATAGTTCTTACATTTCGATTGGGGAGTTACGACAGCCCAATATCAATATTTGATAGACATGACTTTTAATTCATTTCCTCCTAATTCCAAGAGGATATATCACAGCATGTTAGTTCACTATAAAAGGAAACTACATTAACACTCAAGTATTCAATTTCAGCACGAGCAGTTAACATAAAACATTGGCCATTGTAAAGGTAAATCAGTTATATTTCTCTGTTTAGACGGAAGCAGTTCCAGAAATGGTCACAAGAACTTGTTATATTCTGGTACTGTCAGTAGCGTTATGATCAACGGTTTACAGTGTGTAATTTCCAGCAGATTTGAACATATTCGCGCTGTATGTTTTACTGTCGTTGTGCTTAATAACATGTTTCATATACACCCAGTGTCATCATTGACATAAAGGGACGCTACAGTATAGATCTTTTAAAGTTTGCTTATATTGTGTTTAGTGTTTTATTTTCTATATCTGCCATTACATAGATGCGAGTTAGATATATAAATTGATGAGAAGAAATCCGTATACTACAACGTTTCAATTGACTTCCTAGACAACAAGGGGCGGTGGGGTAGCCTAGTGGTCAAAGCGTCCGCTTATCACGCCGAAGACCCGGGTTTGATTCCCCACATGGGTACAATGTGTGAAGCCCATTTCTGATGTTCCCCGCCATGATATTGCTGGAATATTGCTAAATATTACTCACTCACTCCTAGACAACAAACATGCAGTTAAATTACACTCACTAAATCTTGTTTGTTCACTACCGTTATTAATATTAAATGTTATATAGGTCCACACAATGCAGTGACAAATATCTGAATAAGTCAAACTTTGCTTCTTAGAATTTCAGTTGTACCACGGCGTTCCAACTGTGAGGATATTGGTGGTTGATGACGTCACAGTCAAACTGTTATCACAAACTCGCCATTGTGACGTCATATTTCTTATTTGTCTAGACAGCGTTGAGAGTCGCTAATATCGTCTTGTGCAAAAACCAAAACGTCATTACACTCGAATAATGGAAACGGGACAGATGGCACATGTAGCTCATGATATTCATACATGTATTTTTTAAATAGTTCATATTTGATGCATACACATCCGTACTGTTTGCAATATATTTGAGCCATTCTCATTAGCATACTGTTATGAATGACTGACCATATTCGCCTGCTGGATAACACTTATCAACAGGTATAACATACTTCACAAGTTTTGGAATGTAATCATATCATTGAATTTCCCCATTAACTGTTTTAGTCCTACAAAATATACGGCCAAAGCATAAACTGTAAGAAGCGGTTTCTTTTACCAGATTCCGTATTGAATATATGTAAATATCAAAATACGTGTCTGTGAAATATGCAATCGGACAATGTGCTTTCTTTCAATCTGTGAAGAACAGAAAATCATCATGCACTTATCTTTTAAATATAACACTATTTATTACAATCCATTATAAAAATATAATTATTTTAACATCATCAACAATTTGCAAGATGCGTTCTCCAATATCGTCCGGCACACGTATGAATGTCCAAATTCCTAAAGATTATGTGTTCTGTGTACATTATCAATATGCTTTCTTCTTATTCATATTGAAAAACTTAATTACCATAAAAACACTTTTTAAAAAGACATGCAATGAATTGTTGCAAGAATCAAACATATACAGATAGCCAGATTCAATTATTAGCACAAGCTACGATTGACCTCTTGCCAATTCGTAGTTTGATACAATATATGGATATAAGGCGTCAGAAACATATTGTCTGTAAACACGTCTGAGATGTCATTGTTTCCACAGCTGAAAAAATGTGTTTAAATATCGATATTTAACATTTAATCAGTTTAGCTATGTTATTCATTCCTTCTTATTCAAAGACTCACTTGGTTGTAAATGGCGGTAATTCATAGGTGTAAATCCCTAAATCCTTATAAACGCCACATGTGCAAGGTTTTAAACACTATGAATGACTAACAATACTTTATGTTTACAGTGTCTTGACGATAGAGCCATTGTGCTCCCGTGGCTTGTGTTCTTTAAATTTTTAAAACAGGACAGCTGCATGCTCCCATATGGTAATACACACGGTGTTCAAAATATGAAAAAAGTGCATTTCTGAAAAAGTCTTTGCACCTTGGCGACAAAGGTAATGTGCACCAATTTGACCCAGATATATCGCCGATCTGAGCTAATACTACAGCTGTCTGACAAAGGATTTAAATCACTCATTCTTTCTAACCCAGTCACTGTACTACAAGGCTTCATTACACGTGACCAGAAACAAAAACCTCTGCATCCAAGTTCCAAGTGAGACAATCTGGCAGCGAAGTGTTCATTATCTTGTTGAACTTGACACCAGAGAGTGTGGGATAATACCTGGTATTTTCGACTTAACTTTGGGAGATCAACGCACGAGAAGAACTTACATAGCTCCCGCGAGGAGCGCATGTCCACGTGTGACTTAAAACGCTCTCCATTTACCTAGGAAAAGCCTTAAGCAAAGATGCTACACAGGCAAGAAGAACGTGTGAAGAGGAATGCATGTGATTAAAACAATGGTTGCTGGCTTGTGTCAACATGTCGAACACTCCTGGTATAACATAGATCATCACTGAAAGGCATTGTTGAGCCGGGGCACAATGGTCAACCGTGTCAGGAATCCCGTGTGATTGATTGGTAGCACTTGACCACAGGTTATTCAGACACCTATACTTGAGCTATTCAAACATCTTAGTTGTGTTCCACAGTCCATGCATTCACGGTATCATTATTTGACACTGTACAGGTTCCTTCAATCATTCCTAGACAGAATCATCGATGGTAGGTTCTCATGAATTCTGTCAAATGTGATCATTCATGACTCAAAGTCACCTCTCTGGATCACAGGTGATTGAATGACCAACTTAAACTTGATGACCGGGAGGATGGAGAAGGTATTCGTCAAAGAGAATTTGCGATCAATAGAAACGGAGTTGTTTTGGGTTGATTTGGGGTGGGGTGGATCTTATTGATACGCTAACTTTATGAAATATATATAATTCATTTTGGGTATCACCTTCGTATCCTTTGAGCAATATCGTTGAATTTGAGCAATATCGTTGCTATATTTTAATGAAGTATTTCCCTCATTAG